TTCTTTGGAAGACTTAATATGAAAACAAATGTACTTCACTGCCTTTTCCAAAACAAATGAACACAGACTCTTACCAGTTGAATTAAGATCATTCTAATAAATATATTATATATTACTTATTATTATTTTATGTATATGAGTGTATCGCCTGCATGTATCTAAGTGCACCCGTGTCATACAATGCCTGCGGAGGTCACAAGAGGGTGTTGGATTCTCCTGGAATTGGAGTTTCAAATGGTTGTTAGATGCCATGTGGGTGCTGGGAATCAAACCCAGGTCTTCTGCAAAAACAGCCAGTGCTGTTAACTGCCGAGCCATCTCTCCAGTCCCCCAAAGAAAGACTTTTTGTAGCAACAAACTGTCAACATTCCCTAAAGAAGGGAAACTGAAAAATCAATCTCTGTCCTTTAGTGTAACAGGTTTTCTGTTACTGTTTACATTCTATTTAGCCTTTTGCTTACTATCTTCTAAACACAACTATAAAATTCCTGCTCTGAAAAATAGAAAGAACTAAGACAAATACTCAGCCAGGGACAAAACATCTTAGGTGGATGTTTATGCAATCTTTTGAACACATATTTTGTCAGGCAAGTAGAGAGGCATTAAAGGGTGCTGAGAAAACTGTCTTAAATATGAGAGCATCCTAATTCTTTCCGATGAAAAAATATGTGGATTGAATATATTATCTCTGATAAAACAGATTTCCATTCTACACTAGAGTTCTCTGTGCATGATTTCAACAGGAAGACTCAAAAAGAACTGCTTAAGCTTATCTGTGGTGGCGCAATCTTATGAAACCAGTATGGCTAATGACTGAAAGGGGTAATTCCAATCACCTTCCTTCTTTCATAATCAGTGGGATTAATAAGCAGCTTTTTTTTTTTTTTTACACAAAAGGAGAAACAATGGTGTCAGAACTGATAGCTGGAGTTACTACTTTCTGTTTTTCAGCTTAACATAGCAGCAGAAGAAATAAAATCCATGGTCCTCTTTCCCAAAATGCAGGGTACCACCTGAGCAAACTTCCAGCCTCCCCTCTAGATTAGCTAAATGACATGCTGAGAGCCTATCACCTACAAGGATAACTTATTTCAACCTGACGTAGAAGCAATTAAGGTATATCCAAGGAAGGGAGAACATTTGTTTCTCTAAACT